TCATCTTCTCTGCGCATGACAAAAAACACAGGAAAGAAAAGCCTCAGAAATCCCGATTGGGCCCGGAATTAAATCGAGCCGTGGCATTGTTCCGCGGGACAATGCGGCTCCCGTCATCGACGTCCTTAACCTCGAACTTCCGCCGCACTGCCTGCGCCGCCGCGTTCTGAGGCCGCGGGGGAGAAGTGATAGCTGCGAAAGGGTCATTGCTTGACGGCGAGTTGTTTACACATCGCGGGGCACGAGTGCCGCTAAACTTTTCCTCGAGTGATTTACGACGGCGGCGGCGGCGGTCGTTCCGGCGGAGGCCTCCAGGGCTACGCGGAGTGCGCGACGCTACGTCGGCCCGCGGACAACTGGTCGGGTTATTGTGTTTTAATCTGTTGGATTTGCGTGAGCGAAGCGTCCGGGTGACCCGCTTTCGGACGTGTGGGCAGAATGGACAGACGTAATGGCAGAAAATTGCTAGTTCAGTGAATAGTTTGGGCGCGTAGTCATATACCCATAGTTACCACACAACAGGCAGGCCAAACGGCGTCGGCACGAGCTACCCGCGCGCCTGGGTGGCGCTTTAGTGAGCACGGGAAACTTGACTCCGTACGCATTTTCCCTCCAAATCCTGTAAAGGGTGTGGGTGCGGCGCGAGGCCTGAAATAGTGACTTCACACGAAAATATGTTTGCCAGATTTGTTCTGTCAAACAAACAAGGTTTGAATTATGGTAGCATTATTTCATATTTATTTTTATTGCATTTTTTTAAAATTCTGGCTTGTATAAACATCTTTATAAAAAGGCAGAAATATGTTTGAATGGCGAATTGTTTCCTGGTTCTTGTGTTGTTATGTTATGTTTTATTAAATCATTCATTTATTTGTTATAAATTTATTTCACAATATTGATATATACAAGTCGCTATAAGTTAGGAATTCTTGTTTAGGGATGGACAACGCAATTAACAGACAAGGATATTTGTTAAACCTCCTAACCTGAACCAAAAAGTTAGTTATAATTATAAACACGATTACAAATCAAGAAACATTCGATTCCAAATTTTGAACTTTAGTATCAATTCGTAATTCGAAATCTGGCTAGTGTAAAATTGCATTTGGTGGATACTTTCTTTGCTTTAGAAGAGGAAATGGGAATTAATATAGTTGAATTTAGATCAATAACTCTCAAATGACTTCCCCAAAAGACTATCATGGACCTGTTGTCCAGTGATGTACCGCCATTCCGAAGCAATTTGTACAACTCTTACTATTAAAACTCACATCAATCTCTGGTTGCACTACCCGCGAACTCCAGTAAGCTAGTTACTTTGGCTGCACAGTTGACATGCCTGCTATAGAACCTCTGGGAGAGATGTTGGCGAACATCCTAGTTGGCGACTCCACAACAGAAGCTTCGGAGTCTAGGAGTTGCCAGGTTTGAATTTCACAATGTCGGATTTTCGACGGTAACTACTAAATACAACGTCGGACGCCACTGCTGGATAGATTAGAATTATTCTAGACGACTGCTCCGCAGATTCCTTTGATCAATTTCAGGCGGGTGTCGGGAACAATGCGTACGTACACAATGGAGTTCTACCGAGCGAGCTCTACCTTTTCTTTCTCGCACTGTCTCCTTTCTTACCTTAGCGACGGGAAATGGACTGCACTTCTCACAGCCCTTAAAGGCATCTATCGTACGGGATTCTTGATAATCTGATCTCCTCCACCCTACAAGCACCATCCCTAAGAATCGTATGTTGGAGTCAGGACAGAGAGTGAGTGGGCGACAGGAAATTGAAAGAGGCTTCTACAAAACCTTCTCATGAAGTTTGAACAAATTGATAAACGTAATAATGGGAAATTATTAATTCAATTAAAATGATGGTGCTTTGTGGCGTAGCAAGAATGAACGTACTTGGAACTGTTAGAATATATTGCTGATCATATATTCCTAAAAGAAGAACAGGCTGTTGCAATTACTGTGATACCCGAAACGTTCAGTACGGCAAAGAGTAATTGCAGGAAAAATAAAAGTTTTTCTATGCAGTATCAAGGTATTGTTCCGATAACGTGTTCATTATCTCCTCCAAATATATTGTAATGCTCTCATTACTAAGTCGACTATTGTGCTGTTAATTTAAGCTATAATATGGCAATTCCTCTACCAAAAGCGGTGTGCACAATGGCTCTGTAACTTTTCACTAGAAATTTGAATTAGAAAGCAGCCGTCAACAAATTATTCAGCCTGGCATTCTAGTGAACACAGCATAAATCAGCGTGTCTAAGCAACCGTGATTGAAAAGCGACCACACTTATTTCGGGTGGAGAGTAATTAGCAGTGAGAAGATATGAAAGTAGCACTCAACTCAAATGTAATGTATTATCGCAATAAAACTGACGAGAATTCATTAATGAATAAAAGGGTAAAAAATGTAATCCGCAATACTACTTTCAGTGACATTTGCGAATTTTATGACTTGAATAAATCGCTATTACACTTCTCGACGCATGCCTTTGATATCAGGCGTGTTACGAATAGCAGAGTATTGAACAGTTACTAATGACTGCGGAAAGCGTGGATTGATGTGATATGCGCACAAGGCTATAAATGAATAAGGAAACAACATTTATATATTTATTTATTAACTTATTTTTTATTTATTTTTAATAGTGTGACAAATAAGTTAACTGACCTCGCCGATTCTGAAGCAAGCGCGATTTTTATCAGACGTACAATCCGATTCTCGATGAAATAATTCGACATCTGAAATTCCGTAAATGCTTTTGTTTCTTAAAAAATGTCAATACTGCTTTAAATAAGCTTATTGATACCTAAAACTATAACTCTATGGACAGTTTTTTTAAGTCTCTTGGTTATACAGCAACCACTGTGGACAATGATAACAATGATGAATGAAAACTAATTTGACGAAAAGTCGCAAAACGAAAAGATTCACATGACAACCAACGACAACTCCGTAAGTTTCACTGTAGGGACCGGAATTACAAGGTAAGTACTTAGTAGCAAAAATGGGTCAGGTTCAAACTGTGAGGAGACGTGTTTATGATGTTGGTGACCCCGCAAAGAAACTGGACTCGAGAAGAAGAAAAAAAAGTATTGAGTATGTCGTAATATACGGAAAAACTTGTACGCCTTTAAAGACCAAACCAACGGAATATATACACAATTTTAGAAAGCTCGTTGCTTTGAAAACAAAATTTCCTTATATTACGAGAAGAGAGTGTCCCACACTGAACGGAAAGTGCAGAATCGTGCCTGCGACGAACTCGCCGACCGACAAGCCAGGGAGTGCCGGTACAGCGATAGGAAAGCGGAACCGACGAGACGCAGTGAAGGTGGCGGGAGCTGCCGCAGAGAGTGTTAAATACCCGGGCGCAGCTTTTCCTCAACCTGTTGCCACCACCGCCGCCGCCGCCGCCGCCGCCGCCGTCACCGCCTCCACGGGCCCCAACTGGGCCAGGGCCGCTTCCTGGCACCGCCTTGCTCGCCGAGCCACCGCCTTCGCCGCCGCCGCAACCTGCACCATGGCACTGGCGTTGCGTTTACGATAGCGTGCTCCGTGACCCCCAACTCGCTATCTCATTTCCACGTTAAAAGCACACCTACCGTCTGCACACCTCTTAAAAGCACACCTCACGAAAACCTACCGTCTCTATAGTTCTTTTTCAAGTGCAATGCAGGGCTGTGAGATAATTAATCGCTTTTTCTTCTTTTGGCGGGTTCGTATGTTGTGATCGTTTTCTTGAACATATTTCATGGAGAAGATATGAATCTGTTGTTTTGGGAGATAGTATCGGCATGAGAAGTAGATTTTATTGACGATGGAGTGTTGCATAGTACTCTATCGGATTTGGCTCTGCGTGACTAATAAAATAATGCAATTGAAGGAATTTGAGGTAGTTGAGTGAAAGAGGGCCACACAACTTATAATACATATAAATGTAAATAAACATGCACATAAGTAAGTGTGATATAATTGTGATGCATCAAAAATACAAAGCAATAAATAAATAAATACCTTCTCCAGTAATAAATATTTATATGTATCGTATCATTTCATTTCCGTTTTGTCGAATATTTAATTTTTCTCAGGGCTATTGATTTTTTACAATATTTTCGTCCAATTTTTAATAGAACTTTTCTGTATAAAAATCGTGCTCGAAGTGCTGCATGAATCCTGCAAGAAATGTGTCCCTTGAAATAAGGTAAACTGAAGGATTATTTGAACCATGTTAACTGCTAATGACAGTAAAATTCTGTGATGAGTCTGCAAATAAATAATTTCTCTCACAGGACACGTAAATAACATTTTTCATACCGATATTCTGTACAGTTAAACAGTTAATCGTCCAACAATTCTCAGAAAATGGCCTGCTGTTCAGCGTCCAGCTGGCATCGTGCATAACCGAGGCAAACACTTACATTTCCGAACGCGGGAGCATTCCTGGAAAAGGGAACCAAGCTCGCAGCTGGCCACCAAACAGAAGGCAATTATGCATAACCGAGGAGCCTCGATTTCAACCGTGAGTGGCAGATCTCGGTGGAACGCTTCCAAAGCGTAGCGCTGACTTGCGACTTCTGCGCGAAAGAACGCGAAATGCGGACACGACCGGCCCGCGCGGCGTGAGCGGCGTGTCCGCGGCCGTTGAAATTCCTTCGCGCGCGCGCGCCTTGCAACCCGACGCGAGGAGCTGCTTGCTCACGGCGCGGACGGGCCTCAACTCCACTTCCGCGCGCACATTTCCACAAAACACGTACCTTTTCGCACGCGGTCGTGCTCGTGCTTTCGTTGCCGCCCCCCCTCCAGAGAGATTTCTCGAAGAAAAGATCTCGGATGGAGGGTACTAGCGACCAAGGTCGAGGCCTTGGGGTACGCCCTGAAATGTTTACAGTGTTGATTCTTTGCTGTGGAGTTATTCATAACCAAATTTCTCAGTATGATTATTCTTTTAAAATAAAAGAATAATAAAGGCTGAATACGCAGATTAATTATTTTCATCGACTTCCTCATACATCATTTTACAATGCACCCGCCCATGCACGCCGGTTCCTTGAGAGATTCCCTGGAGATTTGAGACATCACCATCAAGATCTACGTGTTCAGGAACGCCCTGGAAACTGTTGGGGGCTGTACAAAAATTTGAGAGAATGTATTTTTTGAATCGGAATTAATGATTACAAAAGATCATCTTCATTATTATATAGTGTGCTTTATTTTCAATAATAACCGAATAATAAAATATAAACGAGACTCTTGACTGCTTCCAAGCTCATTTTTTTGTATTAAATGTATCAGATTCTCTTAAACGATCTCCGGCAGAGAATATTAGCGACCTTGGTTTGATCTTGGAGTGCGCCCTGCAATGTGCCGAGTGGAGTAAATAACAACACTCGAATATTAACCCCTTTGCATCGCAACTCGACGCGAGGAGAAGGTACGGCCGAAACGGGGCTCAACTCCACTTCCGCGCGCGCAGTTCCACAAAGTATGTGCCCGTGCGCACGCGCTCGCGCTTTCGTTGACGCCCCTTCTACACAGAAATTCCGCGAAGAAAAGATCTCGGAGGGAGGGTTATAGCGGCCAAGGTAGCGACTCTTGGGGTAAGTCCTGAAATGAGTAGAGAAAAATAACCAGGTTGTATTGTATCTTTAGATTGATGTTTTGCTGTGGGGTTATACATGATCTACAGTTCAGTATATTATCAGTTCTAATGATAAAATAATATTAAGCGTAGAATATGCAAATTCATTATTTTCATCGACTTCCGCGCGTGTCTTGCCACATGACACGCGCATTTACTCGCTGGTTTTGTCATTTCTTTCGCACAGAGATTTCCTGAAGACTTCACACGGAGGAAAATAGTCATCAAAGCCGAGGCCTTGAGGTACGCCCTGAAGTCTATTGAGCATTACAAAGAGAGGATTATGATAATATTTAGCGTCGGAATTTATGGTTGTGCATTACAGCATTGATAATGATAGATGATCTATTTTTAGGTTATATCTATTAAGAGAATAATGAAGGGAATATAAGATGTATATTTTCCCCAAAATCCAAGCCCAATTTTTCCAATGGCATGTATCCTGGTTGATACATCTTATTCATAGAGATTCTCTGAAAAAACTGTATCTGACGGAAAATACTAGCCGCCTTGGCTGGACCTTGTAATGCGCCCTGGAATGTGCTTGGTGATGTAAACAAACAAGAGACGAAAAATGTCTCTTTGTATTTATGACTTCGGACACACACACTTCGGCACAAAGACTGTTTATGATTATTCTTAAAAATGAAAGAATAATTGTAAGATACTAATACAAAGTACCATTCTTATTATTGCCATCACGTGTGTTTAACTAATGCAAATTTCAGTAAGATGTGAGGTCCGAGGACACAAAAAGGTTCCTCAAAATCATGACATGGTTGTGCAACCTACGACAAGTCTTTAGTAATATTTTACCATATATTTATCAGTCATTTCAGTTAAACGAGTTATTAAACATATCCGAAAAGTGAAATAAAATCTGTACCTTTGGGTAAAGCGCATTAGTCATACTTTTCATTCAACCTATGATAAGCAGTCCATATTTTCGATTTCTTTCCTTGTTTACATTCCACTTTATTTCCAATCTATCGTAGAAAAATAGAAAGAAATTCCCCGACGCAAGATGTGTCAGAAGGGGTTTGTTGCGACATTCTTCTGTCTCGAAACATTAAAGAACTATCTTCCTTTTGTTCTCTCCCCCCTGTATATCTGTCAAAGAATATGTTCTCACAAAAAAGGTGATTGAAGTAATATAATTCAAAATACTGCATTATGCAAAAAGTGCATTAAATATCCTGCTCGAAAAATAGTACATATTCTGTAAAAATCAAAAGTATACAGGGTCTTAACGTTACTGTTCCTAAGGAATTCATTTACCCTTTTTCACACATATTGAAATGACCATCGTTTAAAATGAAATCATATTACTGAGTGTGACACTTCACTTACAGACAATGCGTCTTTTCTCTATAAAACCCGGTTTTTGTCTCGCTTCCCTTTGGGTTTATGATTTTTAGAAGCAGAAATTACATCACATGATAGGATTAATAGAAAGCACATAAATCGAATAAAACAAGCCACTACCCTTCCGAAATGTTTTTTCGGAAATTGAGACCAATTTCTGACTGCAGATCAGCCGACAACTACCAGTGCATGTAATACTTCGAGAGTATATTCCAGTGGATGACATCAAGGGACTTACCCGACCGCAAAATTGCTAGCCAATGGGCCCGCATTCTGCAGCGCCAACACGCCCGCATTCTGCAGCGCCACGCCGCAGCGCCGCCGCTTCTCTCGTTGCTCTTGGTGCAGAGCCGCGGCGACCGCAAGTACCGAGTGGCGTCATCCTGCCCTCCGCTCCGTTGGCCCAGGTCGAAATGCTCCTCCTGCGTTCATTACCATCTCCATTAATGCGGGGGGGGGGGGGGCGTGCAAATCGCATTCTGGCTAACTAGCTTTGGCGTAACGGCTTTGTGTGATCCCCAATCGGGTTCTGTCATCCGATTCCTCACCTTCGCCGACAACCGAATTTCGCTGCCGTTATATGCAGAGGATAATCTTACTCGTCAGTACTAGGTCACCATAAAAAAATACCTTGAAATTAGAACAAATGCGTGCATGTAAGTGTATGAAACTTGTATAGCTTTTGAATGGGCCATATTGCAGAAATATTTGTGGCAATCAATAATTATGGAGGTAGACGTTTCTCTCTCCGAAATTGGAACCCTCATTGTAGCAAAATTATGCAATGAACTTCACCTTTTTATCAAAGTGTTCAAATAGAAGAAAATTTCTTCTATTCTATAAGATTTCTACTTTCCTAAAGATTCAATTAATTTTGAAACAAATTAACTTTGTTAATTTCTTCAATCGATTATGAAGGAAAGCTTTTGTTTTAAACAATAAATCAGCAACGTAAGATATAGATAACGAACAATTTGTTCTATAATCAGTGTTCGTGAGTGTGTGCGTGGGTGGGTGTAAACGTTTGTATTATTGGACGCGCGAAATAGTATGCGTATGCTAAATTTATTTTCGTTCTAGACTTGTGTAAATGTGGAGATTTATTTCTAACAAGGAGCTTATATTAAAATAGCAACATTTTTATTAAAGGTAGTTCAATTTGAATCAAAATCTTGGAATACAAGTTCAATTAAATTTTCTACTTATTATTATTTTCAATTGCACAGGTCGAAGTTTTTCTATTTGATAATAAACGCATAGCAATATTGAAATGTTTTTCCACCCATAGTACTGACTACATGATATAATAGACAGTTAATAGCTTGGACGTTGTAGTAGCATTCCTCTGTTAAGTTATTTTCATTTTTAAAACAAGGATTTACATGCGGGGATGCGGGGTATTCGTACGAGTCCAACTAGTATATCTGGAAATGACTGTGTGTAGGTGAATTAAGAAAGACTAGGCACGTGCCTACCAACCACACTGGATAGAGGCCACAATAATTTTTAGTACACAAGTTTATAATCTAATATGTAAAAATAAATGTTTGATTGTTGTTCGTTCGTTCATTCGTATTTTTATCAAATCAAATTTCTCCAAAACTGTCATAGCGAATGTATGCCCAAACATGAGAGAGGTTTTAACAATAGGATACTCGACAACCATGTCGAAACCAGGACATAGAACAAACTTATACTCGCTAGAAAGTCGTTCATCTATTAACATTTTTGCGGAGCGTAGTATGAAATGTGATTAACAATCAGGTGACTAGTAGTTCAGGGTCCACTAGTAGTTCATAAATATTAAAAACAAAATATTAATTTTATATTTTCAAAGGTTGCAGTTAATTTTTTTCCATATTTATTACTTCTGATCAATTTTATAATATATTTTAGCGGAACTCGTTTGTCACGCTTAGGGCACCGGAACACATTAATCCGACATCAATCTTCATAATCCCAGCGAATGTGTTTATGAAGAAAGAGCGCATTCAATTATCCTAATAATGCGTCGCACATTCATTCGACGACCTGCAAACCGAGTTGCTGTGCTCAGCGAGCCGGCTCGAGAGTTTGGAGCGGCTTCCAGCACGCGGCGCCACACGCGGCGCCACACGCGCGCTCTCGTTGCTTTTCTTTCTGCTACGTGACGTCAAGCTACCCCGTTGCGCAGCGCGTAAAGAGGCCCCGACGTATTTGCATACACACTCACACACGCACACACACACACACACATGTGCGTAGTGCTCTCGCGCCGGGATGCAAGGCGGCTGTGTGTGTTTGTTTTCGTTAGCGCGACCCCGAGCCGTGTTTTGTTCGCGAAAGATCACTCTCTGTACTCCGGAAGAATTTGCTTCTATTAGCCCCGTTTATTTGTGAAGCCCCCAAGGCGGCCTTGATAAAAATGTCGGCTGCATCACTTCTCAAAAATTAGGGCGTCAATTTGATGGAGTCGCGAATTTTTTTTTTTTTTAGCTAAATGGAAATTCCCGTTGTAATAATGAATGTCCCTGTCTTGTTCTTCCTACCTCGCTTTAATGCAGTCACGGATGTGACGGTGCTGGGCATCAATGTGTATTATTGCGTGCTGGGACAAAGCGTGATTGCGATTCAATCTGTGCATTGTGCATTATGCGTATTGAATGCATTTCCCCGTAGGTAATTATATTTTGAGAAGTATCAAGAATCTTAGAACAATAAGCTATTGTATGTAAGTGAAGAGTAAGGTTGTGACGAAATGACTGTCCTTATTAATTTGCAGTAATTTATTGTACATTCATTATATTCACAAATATGCAGGTTAATGTACCCACGAACTCGTTCGGCGTGAACGGCAACGTTATTTACGCAGAATGTTAATTAATTTACTTTTTATTCATATACCCTTCATGAAGTGCAGTATTTTATTTAATGCCGTTACTATTGCATTCAAATATTATCGATTATAATTTTGAAAAATATCGTATTTGAATATTTTCGATGTACTAAAATAAAAAAAATAAATTTTACGAGATTGTATTTTAAAATTTGACATGTAAATGTGTGTATTGTGTCGCTGGTCTTGCGTAGTTTTGGTAAATTTCATTCTAATCGCCTGCTCTTAAAAATAACCTAACAGACAGATGTTGATATAGTATCTCGCAGTCTATCTTCCGAGTCCAGACAGTGAAAAGTTCGAACGCTGCAAGTTGGACATCCCTGATCTATCTCTTGAGCAATTTCTCTTCATTCCTTGAGCGAGAAAGGATCTTTCCTCTCAATTTATCCCATTGATTCTACATCCCCTTTGTGTAATATCTTACGCATCAGCAGTCTTCTAAATTGACCTCCGAGTCTAACTGTAATTCAAAAGCGTTTCCCTTCCTTTCTTCTCTGCTGCAGTACACAATGAGAAACCGAATAATGGGGATTCCCGTTTTCGCTGCACTATTTTTAATAAACACGCTCATGAAATGAAACTAGTAATCATTTATTAATCATATTTAATAGAGTATTAATTGTTTGACGCGCTGTTCGAATAAAATATTGAATGAGGACAAATAAATCATGTGACAACAAATATAAACTTTTCGATAGATATATTTTGTTGGTATATAATTTTATTTTTATTAAGAAAAGTTAATATTTATTTTTGTTGTATTAATAATATACAAATATTGTTCTAACTTTAGTACCACCATTAAACTTGAACATTTTGTATTCAACAATATATCACTTCTTTTCCTTTTTTTCAGGTAAGTTGTGCTTGCAGCCCCATAATTCCCATGCGGATCTCAACAGAAATTTCTAATAACTGAGGTAGGTCGATGCCACAAAAGCATTACAAAATGTTCCAACATTTTCGATGCGCTTGAGCGCGTCGTGCGCATCTGACTGAAAGCGCTTTCATTTCTCATCACACTTCGATCACAAAAAGTTTGTTTCTGATTAATATAGAATAAAGCATAACGATTATTGTTAAAAAGAACGAAGTCTATATCTTGGGGAGAACATAACAAAACATTAATTTGTTAATAAGAAATTAATATTTGTAAGGAAAAAAACTTTTCGATAGATACAAATTAAAAGTTAAATTATAAATTTTTTCATCATGCATAAAAACATTCATTTCTACACATTCGCAGCTGTTTTGAATTAATTACGTTGGACAAATAGAGAGTTATTATATTTTTAATATAATGATGCAAAAAATTCAATTGTTTATAACTTTTGTTTAAATGGTAATTGATCTAAAATATTATAGGGGCATATTTGTATCACTAAATACTACAATACTGTGTAATTTGGATTTAATCCATTACCTTATGTGAAATCAAAGCACACTTCAAGAATTTTTACTCTATATTAAATTTTCAGTACAATATTTATTAACGGAAAATATGGCTAAATCATCCTATGGTAATAAACCATACTTTACTTTTAATTATGTTCCTATTTTAACTCGACCCTAACCGTAATGTTGTATACTCCCTGAATCGGACCGGGATGATGGAGACGGCGGGAATGTAATTTCCATTTAATACAGATGACATAAATAATTCATTTTCCTTTTTATTAGATGTATTAATAAATAAATACTTCCCCCTTTCTAATTTCAAATAATTTGCTGATGTTTGAAGTTTGACTTGTAGCGTACTTTTAATGACATTTAAGCTAATAAAAGTAAAGTACGTAAAGTACGTTCTATTTCATTTATGTGAATCAAAGTTCAATTCATATCCTTTCCAAAATGAAATGGATTTGTAATATGACAACTCTCAATTACTCGAGGTCGCAATATGCAACTCGGTATTACAAAGGTGATGAGCTTTTGAAAGACCAAATTGGTGTAGGTGTAGTTTTGCAACTTCATGAACTCTCAGCGTGGATCAACTTGCCTTTCATTTTCAGTTATTTTTTTGCTTCGTCCCTGTTGTGCTAATTGCAATTGCCTGCATTCTCACATGCTACTGTTATTTGCCAATTCCGATATGGAACGTCCCTTGTTTCTGAAACAACGATTGTTCCCGCAGTACTCACTTTACATGCTAGCAATCACAACTAGTCGTTCCACGCTAGTTCCAGTACTTTCAACAGCCATGAATGTACACAATACAACAAACCGATCGAAGTAGTTCATCCGCAAATGGAAGCGTGAGAATGCTCGCATGTTATTGGGACTCACAACGATCGCCGAACTGTGTGGATCACAAGCCAATACCCCGCAGATTATATAATTCCAAAGTGAACATTGAAAATTGTGCATTTTGCATGACCATTCAACAGAAATCACATTAAAACAGTGTGCATTACAACATTTTTTAATTGGATTTAAATTATGGACTCTTTCATCAAAATAAGTAATAAAATAGACGTGTATATAATATTGTTGCCGAAAGTTGAAATCAAGGAAGATAAAAAATCAGGACCATCGAATACGTGT